GGCAGGAGGTGTCCCTCTGGACTCGTTCATACTCTCTCCCTTCCTAGGGGCAGGATCCTCCTCCTCCTGCGCTTGTTGGCTGATTACGTGCCTGGAGTTGGCTTTGTCACACGTAAGTGGGCCCCACTGCTATATCCCCATTTCTGTTGGGTGGAGAAAAATCAGGGGAGGGACTTTATAAGGGCAGTTAGTGATAGAACAAGGGGAAATGGCTTTAGACTGGAAGAGGGGAGGTTTAGATTAGACATTAGGAAGAAATTCTTTGGTGTGAGGGTGGTCAGACACTGGCCCAGGTTGCCCAGAGAAGCTGTGGATGCTCCTCCCTGGAAGTGTTGAAGGCCAGGTTGGATGAGGCTTTGAGCAACCTGGTCTAGTGGAAGGTGTCCCTGCTGATGGCAGGGGGTTGGGACTGGATGAGCTTTAAGGTCCCTTCCAACCCAAACCATTCTGTGATTCTATGAGTTGGGCAGAACGTTTGTCAGTTGGTTTCCAACCCGAGGAAGGAATTGGGAAGTCCCTAGCATAGTTAGCACCGGTGTTCCCAGTGTTGATGCTTGTGTTGTCTTAAACTGGAACAGGAAAGGATGAGTTGCATGATGGCTATTAGGGACCTGTGCTTGACCACAGTGGTGAACCCCTCTGTCCCCTCCCAGGCTGCAGAGCTCTGTCTCTGCCAGCTAGGCCTGTTCTGGGCTCCCTTTCTGCACCTCAGCTGCTGCACCAGAGCCCTGCTTTGCAGCCCTTGGCTTTGAACTCTTCCTTGATCCCCAGTCTGCAATGCAGATAAGGGTAAACAGGTGCCTGGAGGTATTGACCCAGCCAGGGGACGATTGTAAATCAAAGGGCCAAACCAGATCTGTCTTCTCCTAGTCCTCCACTAGAGGATCCCTTTGTTATGAGCCAGAATTCCACTTCCCCCCCCTTACCTGCTGATGGGAAGCCTTTTGTGGAGCGATTCATGGTGATGTGGCATTAGATCAGCCTGGCATTGTGGGATTGTCCTTTCTTTGTGGAGTTCACAAAGCTGGAGCCACTTCTTCCTCGTAGTGATTTTGGAGAGGCTTTGGAGCCTGCATTAAGCCACGTGCTACATAAGCATTTTTACTCTAGAGCAGTTGCTTCTGTGTCTGCACCTGCTTGTTACTGCTGAGTTGTCTTTCCTGTGCCACAGCAGCATCCTCCTGACTCGCTGCATGTGGGTTTTTCCCTTGCACATCGTAGAACCCCCTTCCTACTGGAGTTTGGACATGTCAGCTCAGAGGGAGTGGTGTCCCACACCATGGCCATGCTGACTGTGTTTCACACCCTGCTTGGTCCTGCTGTAGTCTGTGGTACCACATCCCAAAGTTGTCTCTCATCTTGGGAAAAGTAACTTCTGTTCTTGGGTTCAGCTGAGTTTTATAAGTGGAGGTTTGGGATTGTTTGGTACCATAACAAGAAGGGGGATATACCTCTTCAAATTCTTCTTCTATACAGCTTCAAATTCTTGCTTTTCTGAAGTTTGTGATCCCTCTGTTCTCTTGTTTCAGGGCCACTGATGGATTACTTGCCTGCTTGGCAGAAAATCTATTTCTATAACTGGGGCTGATGAGAAGATGATGATTATTCTCTGCTGAGATCATGACTGGACATTTTGAAGGAGGGCAAGCAGGCTGGGGGGAGGGATGTTGATAATGTCTAATTTTCAATTAAACCATCCATGAGAAGCTCCCGTTCTGCAGGGTGGGGAGGGGGGTGTATGTAATTTTTTTAACAGATCTAGCTGTGAAGGATGGACACCACATCTGTGGAGAGACCCTGGCCACCTCTTTTTCTGGACTGTTCTGCAGCTACAGTGATGGTGATGGGACAACCTCTTTTTTTTATTTTTTTATTTTTTTTTTAAGCATTTTTCTCCTTTTGTACAGCTGCACTGTCATAAAGCCAGGCAGCGCAGTAGTGGTTTTTGGAGAGCACTGTCTCCCACCTCATGGCACTGAGATTGACCTCTGCAGCCTGCTTGTGCTGGCCGTGCCTAACCACTCTGCTTGGAGTGGGTTTGTCTGTCCAATAAACTGACTGAATGGAAAGAACAGAGCTGAAGGACCTTCTCTTCCCCTGTTTGCATGGGGTCCCCTTGGATCTGGTCAGCAGCAGGTTTCTCTAGCAAGAAGGATCATGTTTTGCAGGTGTCAACCCTGGGATCCACTGTCCCAGAGTAGCTTTTTGCCCTGGTCTGTGTCAGGCAGAGTCCCAGAGGTTGCTCAGCTGATGACCATAGTGTCCATCACTCCAGGTGCCTGGTTCAGTCCCCAGTCTCCTGGGGTTCCCCTGGGGCCATGGAGAGCTGTGGTTTGCAGGCTGTGTGCTAAAAGGGCTCGCAGAATGGCTGCCAGGCAGTGCTCTGGGGCTTGGCCAAGGGCAGAGGAGAAATTAATTAAGCAAACACTGCAGTACCACTCTTAATAAAGGGCCAGGAGAGGCCTGAACAGCTGTAACCATCTTTTGGTATCTGCTCTGCAAACTGCTGGACAGTTCAGGCATTAGTGACCTGCTGTGGAGGCTCCCTTGGCCAGGACAAGGGGGTGGTCATCTGTTGGCACTGGGTTGCCCCAAGATGCGAGCCCTGTGCGGAGCTTGGGAGCTGGAAACAGCCGGGTGTGTTGGCCTCGAGTGGGTGATAGGAGCATCCCTACCTGAGCCACCCGGGAGGTGCTCTGGGGTTGCAGGGGTCACAGCCACCTTACCTGTCCCACACACACCTGTAATGGGCCACCACAGCTGGGGACACCAGGGATTTGTCAGTTAGTGGGGTCTGTGTTGCCACCTCAGTGGGCAGCAGTGCCCTGTAACGCATCAGGAAAAGCCACGAGTGAGGGTCTGCGAGCCCTTCCTTTGGGCTTTTAGCAGAGGAAGATGCAGAAGGCTGTGAAGGCTGGAAGGTGTTGGGATGGGGTCTCACTCCTGGGGACAGGGAGATACTGAGATGAAGGTGTTTGCTTTTGGAGGGGTTGAGAGAGAGGCAAAGGGTGGTGGTGAGGGACAGGGGAACAGCCCTGGAGCTGTGGCTGCACCAGGGACTATGAGGGACTATGAGCAGCTGGCACCAGGCAGCCCAGGACCAGAAGATTACGTACCAGATGGGCACCTGACCCAGTTGGTATCCCAGGGCCACCAGCGTGTCTCCTGTGACCTCAGCATCAGAGCAGCCATGCAGCTCTGGCTCCTGCTGCTCACCCTGCTGCTGGGGGCTGCCCTCCCACGGCCCCTGCGCCAGAGGTGATGGCACTGCCCCCCTCCTCCTCCTTCCTGCCCGGGTACCCCAAGAGCTCCTGGCCCAGGCGTGGGCTGGCACTGGTGGCACCAAGCCCTCAGGAGCCATCCAGGCTGGGTGACAATGAGCAGGGCACAGTAGTGCTTGTGCCAGCATGGGT